CAAAGCCTCCATCTCAAATAATCTGTGCAACTATTTAATACAAAATACAATTGCCCCTTTTCCACTTCACCCCATCCCCACTTCGCCCCATTCCCACTTCGTCCCATTTCCACTTTGCCCCATTTCCACTTTGCCGTGCATGCTGATTGAGTATAATACAAGCCTCTTAAAAAAATGGTTAAGAGAGGAGTTCCACAAACGATATGTAGTTATTATAGAAAACTCTACAGTATTCACTAAACTCATGTCGACTGCATTATCCATAATTATGGTGAAATAATATATCTGGTTGGACTAGCATTGGGTTTATTTCTCATCCTCTTTAAGTTTATGTCAAAGTGATATACACATGCACATAATTCTGTTCACATCGTGCCCGGGCGATCGGATAAAGCTCAGTGCGCAGGAAATTTTGTGGAAACAAGCTCGCTTCAAGTACAAGCAAAACAACTTAAATTAAACTGATGAACACCGAAAATACACACATAGACAAGATACTAATTTCTCTGAATGAATGTGAAAAAATCTTGCAACGTTGATGTTTTTTCGATGTGTTAGGTCACGTACATGTACAGTTGCCGGGAAAGGAATAGACTGGTTGCCACACTCCATCATGCATTCTCTTGCATGGGTGCGGCATGGCGGGAACCAGTGCTTTTCACACGTGTTTTTACCACAGCAACAATGAAACACAAAGAGAACTTGTGAAATTAGCGATAGAAATTAATGTTGCAAATGTAACTAGGAAAACATGTAAACACAAGTGTTATAATGGGAAAATGTTGTTCCGATGTGTTTGTGAAGACAGAAAAGACAACAGGATTTATTCATTTGGTTTTTTCATATTTATTAATTTTTTTTTCCTAACTTGCCAACAAAAATTTTAGGGTCTTGCCGAAAAATTTGGGTCGGTCGGGAAATCGAAAGCAATATTTTGGCCTTTGCAAGTTGGATCTTCGATCGTTTAATATTTGGATACTCAAACGTCAATGTTTTTACTTGTTGCATCTAGGCCTATGCCTCTGTTATATTAAAGAACAGAATGAATGATAATTGATGGGGCGAAGTGGACGTGGGGCGAAGTGGACATGGGGCATCATGACCGACACCCCCATCTGCCGATGAAGCTCGAAGTCACACGAAGTGTCAAGATGTAGGCCCTTATTTGCGTCAGGGAGATGTTGAAAGCAACATTGCTTATGTTGATTCTGCTGTGCTGTCATCTTTGAAACTTTTAGTTTTACGGAAGAATTTGCAATGCATCGAGTTATGCCTACCTGTTGGTCGCAATGCGGGCACTGTTTCAGCACCATTTTGTAGAAAAAAGGACAGCGGAAATCACGAGTAGGCCTAACCTTGGCTTGGGACCACCTAAACCTCAACTTTGGCCTTGCATCTTTACCTGAACAACTCCAACAACTCAGCATTCAAAACACACATTACATGATTTCCTTGATAAAATGAACTTTGATCTCAAACTAACATTGTACTACTAGTGACACATCGGTAAATGAGACAGTGTATGATTATGTACTGCAATCACACAAGTACATGTACATGTACTGTACATGTACTGTCGTCAGGGTCTGTAGTCATAATCATTCATGGAGGTAGCCCGCCTACAAACCACTATAATTATACCTTTGACCTTTAAACGAACCTTCAATTTTTTTAAGGGGATGATACATATTGGACGAAAGGATAATTCAATATAAAATAAAGTACTGAGATAAAAAATATGTTCATATTATATATATATATGTTTTGTAATTTAAATTTAAGGTGTTATGTTCATCTTTATTTTAAAATGATTTTTTTGCTGTATCTTCATTGCATTATCGCACCTGTTAAAAGTAGAACGTCCTCAAAGCCACAGCTGATTCAACAACTTTGGTGGTCCTTGGAGATAGCGGTGAAGTTTGTTGCCTTTTATTACGTTTGTGACTTTAAAATTAGCTCTTAGAGCATGCCAGATATTAGCTAAGATATCATAGCTTCGATAGGCCAAATATTGACCAGGAATTACCTTCAATTTGTGACGTAATTTGGGTGCAAAGGCAGGGGTGGTGAAAGTGTGGGATAAGTTTTGCTGTGCAATCTGCGCGTGTGCGGTGAACCCTAACCGCTAATCGATCCGTAAGCATCACGTAGTATCAACGTGGTTTTTCTGTGAACTGGTCGCGCGTTGACGGGCGCCTGTACTGCATCCCGATAGAATCCGCGCCAACCCAGCACCGCAGTAATGCAGGGCGCCATTCACAATTCGGCCGGCCGGCTGGTTACATCATTGGTTCAACTAGTGAGAGCATCCCGGACTTCCAGATCGAGATCCGCCGGCATCAGGCCGTTTCTCGGCGCAAAGATGATGGCGGGAGACACGCAGGGCGCACAGCCCCGAAGAACCAAAGTGTTAACTATGGACACCATGAATCCCCACATTAAGGTGATGGAGTACGCTGTGAGAGGGCCGATCGTTGCAAGGGCCAACGAGTTGGAGAAGGAACTACAACAGGCATGTGTCTCGGTCTATTGCCTTCCTCCATGATTGGAGTTTGTCACTGTATTGATGGTTGTACCATGGTTCAAGTTACTCAGGTCATTGTCAGACAAGCAGGGCAAGGGTTCATAGCTAGCTCATTTGCAAATTGTAGAACTAAACGAGCCAGGCCCTATTCCCCAAATGGGAAAAGTTGCATATGATGACATCACTAATTGTTTTGAAGTGACAACACATTTACAGTCAAATTTCTATGAATTTGGGAGTGAAAATATTGAAGCTTTTACTTACAAAATAGTATTACTAGTAAGTCTTAGTCTTACACTTAGAATTTTTCAGACCTGTCTCATATAGGATTTGTGCACAGGTAGAGAGGCTGATAAAATTTGTCAACTATTTTTTAATTGTTTTTCAATTTTTTGTCATCTGCATGTATTAAAGAGATTCATATTGGCCCTACAGACACCAGTAATTATTTCCTATACTGACAGTAGCCATCAGAAAGCAAAAACATGTCCAGAAAATTCAATTTAGGACGGAAAATACCAAGTCGTGTACTGAGAAAACACTTAAAGTTTGTCAGACCAATCTCAATGGGTTTATGCATGGGATGTGTCAAGTGGCATCCGCATTTCGAACTCTTTCCACTTTTCTGTGTAAATTGTCATTTGATAGTTAAAGTGGGCCCAACCATGGAGGATGACCTTACATGCCCGGCCCTTGGCCTAGCCATTGCTAACATCTGCTCCTGGCCTTCAGAGAAAACGATAAACCTTGTTGTTTGCATCATCCTGGTACGGAGAGCCTACAGAGGACATTATAAAATAGCTAATCCCACTTGGGGGATTTTTGGAAAAATGGCCAGTGTATTCACTGTCAGGAAAAATGGATTCACGCCCATATGCCTTCCCTCTCTTTCCCAAAAAATAGTCAAAGTAATGTGTGCAGTAAAATTTTTTCCAAAATACTCTTGAATCCATCAGAACTTGCATTATTCAATAGACATAATAGAATAGAATAAAAGATGTCATTGTATGGTGGATTTTATGGTATTGTACTGTGCACTGGATGTGTGTGTTTCCACCTGTCCGTCTCTTGATCCTCCTGATGTCACAGTTTGTTGCTTTGAGGTGTAGGATTAGGGTTAAGAAGTGTCAAATAGAGATGTGTTAGATTGTAGAAGATACCCTAAAGACACTGAGAATGAAACGTTTTATGTAAGTACAACATCTTTTTTTTACACTGGCGACAGGGTATTGCCAAGCCTTTCAATGACATCGTCAAATGCAACATTGGGGATGCACATGCCATGGGCCAGCAACCTTTGACCTTTCTCCGACAGGTACGTGTCTTCCCCCTCCCACCCCACCCCACCCCCGTCATGGTCTCTGTTGGATCATAGAGCTAGGAACACATTGGACCAGCATTTATCCCATCTTTATTTTGCCCGTGTCCCGTCAAGTGTCATGCGTGATTACTTGTATGTATTTTCCTGAACTCTTTGTCAGTTGAATAGTTGTTTTACTGAATACTTAATTAAGAAAGAAAAGAAAAAGTTTGAACAATTAAACAATCGCAAGTGATAAATATTCCTGCCTATTCACAGTTTTTTCTAGCCACATTTTGGTTGTTATATACACCAGACAGCCAACTGCTGTTCACAGTCACACGGTGCGAGTGGTAGACCATAACAGGTATCATCTAGGGCAAAGGCAGTTAGATTAACTGAGACAAGATAAAGTTCTGGGGCTTTGGCAGGTTGGCAACATAATTAACGTTCAGTGTAATTGTAATATATTACCTGTGTGTTATTCAGTAACAGGACCCCCTGTTCAGTACTAAACAATTTGTCTGTAACACACAAACATGTCCAGGCTTCCCAAACTGAGGTTAAAAAAGGCCCTTTCTTAATCAATAGATGATTTCTTTCTGTAATGTAATTGGAAAACGGTTTTAAGGAATAACTGGTATGTAGCAGATGTTAGTTGGAAATGGTTTAACAAATACGTGTTTGTCAAACTTCCTGCTGTGATGAGCCGAGTCACGACAAGCTGCTTGCTGTTTTTAAAATTGGCCATTTTCAGACAGTTTCTATCTAGTGTAGGGCCGTGCCAAATTTCAGATAGATTCAATCAATGTAGCAAATATTTGAATTTTTATTTTTGAAATGGAATGTTCAGAGGTGAAAAACTATGAATACATGGGGAAAAATCTTCATGAAATGGTCACAAAATGGCATTCCAATTTTAAGCATGTTTCAAGGTGCTACTTTAAGCTTAAAGAAAAAAGAAATTTCTTTCCTTCCAGTTTCTGTTTAAAGACATTTTTTCTGGCCTGTGATTCACAGGGACTAAGGGAATAAATCACTAATTGGGTCTGAACATCAGTTGGACTCGTTGCTTCCTCTGACTAGTGGATGGACCCCTGTCCACAACCTTAGTGAGGTAGACCACAAAAACATGCATGCATTGAACTGCATTTTGTGGGAATTTGGTATTTATAACCAAATCTTTGAATAGAACCCTCTCTTTTTTTTCACCAAAGCCATGTTTTTCCCAAAATCTGGCTGACGAAAATCTGGCGGAAGGTTCAAATTTTCAAATTTACGCAGCTTTGCTTTAAAGTGTAGCTGCAGTGATTTTTTCGTAAACAATTTTTCTTCAACTTTGTGTTCTTCTTTTTATGAAAACTCTTTTGTTCCCGTTTGGTTAAATGCATGTTTAAACAATCAAAATTGTCCATGCATTCCTGGAAAACTGAGGGCGCTGTTGCCGTGAAGACATCTAGGGAAGACGTAGTTCGTTGCATAGGCTGACTGTTCAAATTGGGAGCCCAGCATTTACTTACCGAAAACATTTTGGAGAAAGGGATCGATGCTTGCTTATTTTTATGCACACAAACAATAAAAACCAATGTAGCATTGTAGCTTCTTCCTGAGATGACATCACATACATGTATGCTCATGAATATGGAAATACTCAGCATAAATGCCTCAAAAGGCAGTAAAATGCTGAGACTGAGGCACGAAGGTGCATTTTGGAGGTTTTGTTCATTGCAACTACCTTTGAAGACACGACAGCTTTTGCCCTCTACATATACAAACATTGATTCTTCAAAAGCTGAATGTTCTCAGTGCCCTCTGTTTTCAGTTGAGGCTGAAATCATTTTTTGGAAAAAATCCAGGTCATTGGTGAAAAAACCACATGACAAAATGGTAATCCTGATAAAGACTCTTTAGAAACAGAGAACCAAAGTTTCTGGATGCATTTTGAACTTCTGATGTTACATACTCAAACAGTTTGAGATGAAATTGAAGTACTCTGGAGATTAATGAAAATATCTGTGCAAAAGACTTTGTTGAAATGAGTCCAACATTTTGACATTCCAGTAGGTGCTTTCTGGAAAACTCATCAGTGACACCCTATTCATTACAATGAGACAAAAATCCAAAACACAACAGAGCAAACCGGCGCCACGTATTTGTACATGTACTTTGTACTTTTAGAAGTAAAATTTGGGGCCTCAGTTCCCCCGTAAAGTTGTGGCATTTTGGCCCTGCATTGTAAAACTGAATCTTTCCAAATTGTGCAAAATATGGTGTTGGATTTTGGAGCATGTACACGTAAGTAGTCCGAGTCATGTGGAGTTTCCTCCGTTAGGCCTTCATCTTTGCATCAGAATATCATCTGAAATTGTCACATACAACTTCAATTTCAACACCCACTTCCTTGTGACTTCCCTCAGTGCCCAACTCTAAACTTCAAGGCAGATTCGTGTGAAGGAAAACCCAACTGGCGTGTTTATCAGGGCAGAAAATGCCTTTAACATCAGTTGTCAAGATATGGTTTTAGACAAGTTTTCCCGCATTACCAACCTTGCCCATTGTCCATGGGGGGTGCAGTTATTTAGCAAACAATTTTCTTTCAACCCTAGCCCTCCCTATTTTGTGGGATATCAGAGAATCAAGGATTGCTGAACGGAGCGGTCGTTATTCATGGTGCCTTTCCAAAGTAACCGTTTCTGTCCTTTGGCGGTTTGGAAAGGATTTAAGACTCTTCCTAGGGAAGAACCGGCAAGGGGAATATTTCAGAGAAGATTTTAGACTTCATTACAAAACCCTTCGGCATGTACAGGTGCATCTATGTACATGTATTGGCGGTTGGTAATGTATATGTACGTGTATCACTGGGTATCGAACGTCCTTGCATCTCATGCAAATACCCACTCACAGGACTTGATGACCACCCAATGAATATTTCCTGTCCTGCACTATAGATGTGTAATGTCGCAGTGCGAGATGATCCCATGTGATTCATGAGAATAGATCTGCTGTCTATGGCTTACGTTGTATTTGGCCCACAGCGTGAGGAATCTTGAATCAGAAGGCATCCACCTCTGTGTACGTGTCTGTAGCAATGTGTAACTTTCCTTGTACGGTAATTCCTACTCCCCGCGCCTTTTTTCATTCTGCTTCAGTAAAAGTTCTGTACATTTATTCTCTCCTACATTTTTTCTTCTTTATTTTTCAAACCATCTTCTGTGCTGGTTGAAATGAACTGGATATAATTTCACAGTTGTGAACATAATTTATGCCAAAAAAAAAGCTGCCACGTTGAATTTTATCATTTATGCAAAAATATGTGGAGGTGTGCCGACCCAATCAGCTAATCTTCTGTTGGTTATTTCCATTGATAATTCCCACACAGCTGTCTTGTGCCTGGGTACATACAGTGTCGACTATCGCGATATCCCAATGCCTACATCCGTTAAACTGTTGAAAAAAACAACACAAAAATAAAACACAACTGCTCACGTCACTCAGCTGTGCTTCAGCACCTGTAATGCATGTACATGTACACGTACCTGTTCACTATACATAAAACACATCCGCTGCACATGTACAGGCTGCTACAGTGTTCATGCAAGATGCAAGGCACATGCACATGTAGTGTACCTGTACATATTCTTTATGGGGGTTCATTATGTGCCTTTTTTTTTTTTGAGACTACAGTTCAGGAAGGGGGTAGCACTCTGCTGTAAGTCATCCGTGGTATATGCCCATTACCTAATCAGTCAAGCGTGATGAGTACTGCTGATGCACTGTCATCAACCAGTCATTTACGTCTTCCGGTTTGTAACGGTTTCCGTTCACCTACCAGCAATATCTTTCTGCCTCTAAACCTGAATAAAGTCATCACCCTTTTAGAAAGTACCAGTTGATACCAAAACCAACTGATAATTGATATTTCAAATCTGCTTTAAATAAGGAAACAGTTTTGGAATGTTTAGTGCCACACACAGCATAGTGTAAAAGAAAAATTTCGTCAAATTCTCCTGCATTTAAAACTTGGCTTTTTGGTCATGGGCATCTCAGCCACTTGCTGGTGCATGCAATAGCACACTTGTAATGAATACGTTAAAAGTGCACCGTTGATGAAGCTGGCTGACGTGCTTGTCGCCTGGACAAGCCTGTCAGAAGATGATTCACTCGTCTGTTGAGCAGTCATTTCTCTTGAAGTACGTGTACATTTGCAGGTGAAATTTAGCATTTGCTGGCAATGTTGTAGGGCAAATGGCCTCATGAATTCCCTCTTTAGTTACAAATTAGAAGTGGATGGACCCACAGGCATTGTACATTATTTGCAAAATAATGTTGGGTTTCTCTCAGTGTAACCTGCAAGGCTTATCCTATGCTCACAATTTCCAGTTCTGTAAAGGTCTTGCCCTCTTCCGTAAAGGAGGTCGGGACAAGATGCAGCTTGTAAAATCCATCCATTGATTCACTCTAAAGTCTGTGTTGCCACGGCTCATTTACTTCATTTATTTTTAGTTCTTGACTATTGTTTTGTAAGGGCTCGGAGCCAGTGATGCATTAAATTTGTATGAAGCTGAAAGCAACTCCAATTTTTAATAAAGGTTGAAGCCCACTGGCCAGCCTCCATCGGAGCAATATACATGTACATGTGTAAGCACTGTATTTTCTCTTTTTTTTTTTTTTCTTTCCTGTGAGTTGGCATTACTAAAGGTACATGTACGGAGATCCAGAATAATTGTAGCATTTTTCTTTCAAAAATTGATGCAGCAGTCACCCATTGTACATGTAAGCACCCAAAAAACCACTTTGTAGCGGGCATAGTTGAAGGCACAGTGGTTGGTTCTTCTTGAGTGCTGGAATCCGGTATTCAGTGTGTGCTTTGTAAAGGCATTATGAAAAAGGAGCAGCTTTTGAGAAACTGCCTTTGTTAGATGGAGAAATTGAAATAAAACTGCAGATCTGGCTTCCAGGAATGGCTTCAGCTTCACCGGGCAAGCGAGCAGACCTTTTAGTGCGTGGTCAACCTTGACATTCCTGGGAAACTTGTATTATTTTTTTACTTTGGTCTGTGAAGGCCAAAAGTACATGTATGAATGAGTGGGCAGTAAGCTTGGTGGACAGTGACGCACCACTATATATAGCTAGGTCAAAAAATGGTCAAGGAAACCTATAGGCACATGTGCTTGTGCACACGTTGGCAGTTATGTATGAATGGCACTAAAGTTTGGATTGGGTTTTGTTAATAGTAGGATTTCTGCATTGCACAAATACCCAGCGACAAGCTCAGGTTGTTACTTTTAGGTTTCCATATGTAATGGAAAGTAATTCAATGTGTTTGGTTTAATTGTTTAACACCCCTGTATATTTGAATTTAGGGAAGCTAAAATTACTCAAGTTTTGTCCTGATGTTTAGATTTTGATCAACTTTGTCTCAGGTGGTTGCCCTGTGTACATATCCAAAACTACTCGAAGACCCTAGCTTCCCCGAAGATGCTAAACACCGAGCCAAGAGAATCCTCAACGCATGTAAAGGCGGGAGCATAGGTAGGAGAAGGTTTGACAGGCATTCACTGGCTGGGGGAAAGATACGTGTAGTTCGCCTCAGTGAGAAAACTGAACTTAAACAATACATTGTTGTCTCTACTTTTATGTTCTGTTATGCTTCATACTAATGTTTGCTGATGTGATGTAATGTCCATGCAATTTCACATTTACAGCTCAGCCTGCAAGATGGGCGCTGTTTGTTTCTGCATACATGTAAAAATCACTCGGAACTTGTAGACCTGCCAACCAGAACGATTTTGTCATATTTCATCCAGGAATTTTTGAAAAATTAGACCAAATCACCCCCCCCCCAAAATGGCTAGTTCAACGGCAGTGAGTGTAGATTGCACTAGATTAAACAACGGCTGCAGGGAAAGACAGAGATGTGACACGAGGTTGGACGCAACTCCACACTGTGAACTCGTTAGCCACGGCGTCAGTGACAGGTGCATGGGATGTAAACAAATGCATTGGGGACTCGGCGTATGAACCAAAATCTGAGCATTGTACACAGAGTGCTTGGCATTACGACAGATGAACAGCTGTCCATACCGTGCAGACCATGCATGCTGCTGGAGACGATCATTTCATGATCTACGTGTAGCTAGTGTGAAATAGTACCGTTGAATGCCCAAATGGTTTCGACCTCAAAAAAAAAAGAAAAACAGAAGCAATGAAGGAAATCATTTTCATACAGCTATCTCATGATTGGATGTCATCGTCGCCCAGTATGTAATCAGTGGTACGTGTACATTACTAGGTACATGTATCTTTAGTCCCCATGGCTTTGGCGGTGTTTTTGCACCTGTCTCGGCTGTGAATGAAAGGAAATAAGAAAAGGGATATGTTGGGGTTTTGAGTGGGAGGAAACTTCCATATCCACATGTAGATATTCAATTCTACCCAACCCTCCCATCAGATCCAGCAGGTTCTGATCCTGATCCATATGGTGTGCAAGATTGGTCTCATCATTTTTTGCCGTCAGTAAACGGAGATTCATAGTTCCAGCTGTTAGATGCCATTATCACCATATGGTGAATAAAAACTTTGGGCTTATGGGCTATAATCTTGACAGATTGGCGAGAAAACAAATTGTATGTAGAAGTGTGCTACTGGGGTAAAGTGTCCGCAAACTGCGCATCAAAGGGAACACGAAGAAGCCCTGCCTCTGATTCATACATACCTTTCAAAAATTAAGTTGGTCGGTCGGAAATTGGGGGGGGGGCTTGATTTTTTATGTTGATTTATTGGGATAGTCAATTACGCGTGAATTTCAGCTTGGACTTTTTCCATGTACCCTTTGAAAGCCGTTAGAAAAAAATCCACAAAAATGATACGGCTCACCTTTATTCATTAACCCTAACCCTCCTCAATCCTTCACCTGTTGGAGGACTGAGGAGTGTTAGAGTTAATGTAAAGATATTTGCATTTGGTAATCCCGTTAAAATAATGGACAGTACACACCAATATGCAAAACGCTAGTCGCAATGGGAAAGGCGAACGATGTTCTTAAATCAAGTGGTAAGTGTGCTGAGGTAGCTGTACGAAGGGTGACGAACATCGTCTTGCTTGAAGTATTTAAACTCAGAAAGTATTTGAACACAAAATATGCATCACGGTACATCAGGGTAAATATACAGTACATCCAGGCAAGAGAGAAAGATCTAGTTCTGTGAATTAACTTGCAGAGATTATCTTTCTCCAATAGTTTTTTTGACCTGCCACTGCTGAGCAGCGTGGAGCGTGTGTAAATTAATAACCCTACTAATTGGGATGCGGAGACTGGTTGCCGCATTTCGATTGTGTTTTCTTTGGTATTTTCTTGGCGCAGCGGGAACCAGGACATCATTGCTTCATTCTATTGAGCATTATTATGCATGCGTTTTCATTACCTATATCAAAGTGTCTAACTGCAAAGGGAACTTGCAAAGAATGCTCAAAAAAAAGCAAATGTAAAAAAGATAATTGACAGAAAAGATAATTGTGTTTTTTCTTATTCTAAAATTTTTTAAATTTACTTATCCTAACTTGCCCTACAAAATCGGGGTTGTGCCGTAAACTAGGGTTGGTTGGGAAACTGGAAGCACGTTTTTTTTTCTGTAGCTACAACTTTGGCTACTGTTTAAACTTTGTGGACTGGAACTCCTGAGATTCCAAAGTGAGATTTTTTTCTCTGATTTGAGTTGACTCATATCTTCAGTTTACACATAAGGCAGTTTGATCTGTGCATGGTGTTAATGTTACCGGGAGATATGGGTTATAAACCAAAGTTCATACACTGAGACAGGTTATGAGATGTCATAAACCTTATTTTTAAAATGGTATTTCTAAGTTGGCTAGGCATCAGGTGACTTTAACAAGTTAATTCCTGTGCCCGTGACTTTTTATCACCTACTTGAAAAGTGTTATCACCCGAACTGGTACAAACATGGCTCGATGTACACTTGTGTTACCGTGGTAGCATAAATCAGTTCATTTCCATCAATATTCTGTCTTGGAGGAGAGGTCCAAAGAACGCAAAGGGTTACATTTATCGCGGGGTTAAATGTCTGCACCTGGGAGTACCTGGGTATTGGAATGTTTGTTTTATCATGAATTGTTGTCATTAGTGCAAATATGATACATGGTTGTACATCGCTCTTGAAGTTTCTGTATAAAAGCTGCCCTTAACATAAAGCACAGAGCAAACTTGACTGTTGAAACGATTGATAGGATACGTGCAGGAGCAGTATTAAATGTAAGACACCAAGGGCCCCTGGTTGCAAATTGTGCCCGTTTTAATCTAAGCCCATTTCCACAAACCTGCTCGTCAGAGACCATTCAGCAGTTTAAGACGCTTTTAACCCAGCCAGTGTTACCTGGGTAATTTTTGTGAGATACTTTCCCAGAATCCCTCTGCTTTGCAGAAAACCAGCCGAGCAGTATTTGTACTTTTAACGAGTATCAAGGTCTGCAGGTGGTTGGGTTGAATTTCCTTAATCTCACAAATTCCTACCAGACCTTTGGACTCCGGATGGATTTTGAAGGCTGGGGGAGGTTTAGGGACATTCACGTGTCCATGTATTAGTCTGCAAAGAAGTACTCAAAATTTTGAAGAGAATTTTAAACCACTTCATATTGCAAAGATTGATTGAACGTACAAATGCATGTACAAATTATGCAGAAATGGCAAACAAATTATATCAAGACAGGGGAGAAGGGAAATATACCCATACCTCTGACTTTGCTCAGTGAACTAGCAAAAGAACAAGAAAGAAGTGCACGGATCTGAGATTCTTCAATCAAAACCCCAAGCACATAGCTTCCCTGTATTCCAAGCATTTGTTTCCAACCACCTCCCACCAAAAACTGTTTGGCAGCCAACGTGCCGATTGTTACACTCGGCACTCTTACACATATTTGTTTTTCAATATTAGTTGGCTTGCCTGCTTCTTTGAGGTAGGGTGCTTGCGTGTACATGTAGTCATAGTGTATGTATGATGAAGACTGAGGCTGGTTGGTTCTCATGTCAATTAAAATCCTCCCCCTCGGGCCAACTTATTTTCTTCCGTCACACTCATAAAAAGGTCATGTGGCAGTCCCTGTGCCTCCATCCCCAGGGGATGCGTTGAAACTGTTCATGCTGTGTTGCTCATTTAGGCTCGTACAGCGAAAGCCCCGGTCTGGACGTCATAAGACAAGACGCTGCCGACTACATCCAGAGGCGAGACGGCGGTATCCCCAGCAACCCCAATGACATCATCTTGTCAGCCGGGGCGAGCGAAGGAATCAGGGTGAGATTAGGAGAGCATATGATTATCCAACTTCAACAAGATGTGCTTTGCCTTGAACAAGTTATGATTTCTTGTAGTTTGCCTCCAGGAATATTGTCACCTGTACAAAGGCTAATGGCATAAGGCAAAGACTGATTTTTTCAACCTGACAACGTATCTCTATGAGATCTGATGCAAACTACGGTGTCTGTTTTTATATTTTAATGGTGATATCTGAATATGTCTAAAACCCCTGACCACTTCGCCAGTCCCCAATCATATCTTTTGTTCTTGAGCCTTCATCCATCAAATATCGAACAGCTGGCAAAGTCTGTTGGATTTTGTAGGCAGCAGCTAGAAACCAAAATTGTCTAGTCTCAAGCTGTTTGATTCTGTTGGCAGATTTCATACTCAACTTCTGTCGCACTGTTGGTTTCAACATTGATAGAAACCCAGGGGTGGGGGGTTGAGGTACACGGAAAATGATAGAAAAACCCCCTGAGGTTCTGCCGGTTGTCTTTGCTACGCAGTGTGTGCTGAAGATGTTAGTGTCCGGCAAGGGAAAGGAGAGGAGCGGAGTGATGATCCCTATACCACAGTATCCCCTCTACTCGGCAACGTTAGCCGAAGTAGATGCTGTACAGGTAAGACAGAAATTGACCCTTGACCTTTGACACGACACTCTTACAGCAGTTCATGGGTTGGTTTGTAAGGTTTAAAGGGGCCGTGGTGTGAGTTTGAATTTTTTTTTGCTCCTTGCACAATTGTCCCCTCAGTGAAGTCTGCACCGATGCATGACTGCCATTGCTGTGACGTGCTTGACAGCGGTATGGGTTTGAGTGCCAGTATGTTAAAGATTAGTCGTGCATATTCCCTGCCATGCGTGTCTTGTGTGAATGTGTGTGTTGCGTCAGCCAAGCAGAATGTCATTGTCCTGAAGCAGGTCCAACAGCTTGTGCGTCTCTGAAGCGTTCGTATTGACTCGCTGGCCTTCATACCAACAAATGATGGCCTTATCCCTCGAAAGGAATTACTTTCCAGGATGCAGAGGAGAGGCCATCGGTGTTGTTCTCGTTCCATGGGTTGGGCAGGATTCCAGGATCAGCAACAGTCAAAACCCTGAAACAGGATGTTAAGAACAAGTGGCTTGAATAGCTCTCAGTTCAGTGGGTACAATACTTGTCAACAAAGTGGCACTTTAAGACCTATGTTTATTTGATTTCTATATTCACGTGAGTCTCTGCCCGTGCACACGAAGACAGAGCTGTCTGGTATTTGTTGTGATGCCACTGGGTCAAACTGATCCTGTTATGAATTCTTTTGCACTGTTTATATTGAAAGTTTGTATTTGAGTCAAGTTTCAACATGTCAACAAAGCACGAGGCTGAACTTGATCTGGACCACATCTACCACTGTTATCCATATGATCAGTTATTCTAGAGTGAAAGGGCGTCCTTTTATACTTATTGGTCAGTCACTTGCCCTCGAATTGTAATATTTTACGGTTTTGCACAAAACTTATTTCACTGTCTATTCCTGTATGCATTGTCATCTAAAAAAATGCACACACCTGTTCAATAAATACCACAAAGTCTGTATTTTCTAAGTTGAGGTTTATTATAAAACAATTCTATGTACCTCTAGAGCATTGCATGCCACACTCATACATGTGAGAAGACTTAAAACACATGTCCAGTATCCATAAAAAGGAAACATTTTTTGATGGGGAAAGTAATCAGTGCTTTATGATGACGTTCCTTACACCAGATAAACTATTACTTGGACGAGGCTAAGGGCTGGGGGCTGGACATAAATGAACTACAGAGGGCGATAGACGAGTCTCGGACACACTGTTCTCCACGATGCATTGTCGTCATAAACCCCGGCAATCCAACAGGTAGGGCACAGTTTCTGTACCAAACATCAGTAAATTTGAAAACTGCTCTTTTTCTGTCGCAAGGTTGTTGCACAAATGTCAGTTTCATGAAGGCAATGTTATCATTTGCAGGCCAAGTTCTCAGCAGAAGCAACATTGAAGATGTCATCAAGTTTGCCCACAGAGAGGGACTGCTCATTGTAGCTGATGAAGTACGTGTCAAATTCTGAGACCTTTGAAGTTTTGTTTTTCAAAAGTTAAACAGTCGATCAGTACTCTATCTGTTATGGTTGCACTAACTGGTTGCACTAACTGGTTGCACTAACTGGTTGCACTAACTGGTAGCACTAACTGGTTGCACTAACTGGTTGCACTAACTGGTTGCACTAACTGGTTGCACTAACTGGTTGCACTAACTGGTTGCACTAACTGGTTGCACTAACTGGTTGCACTAACTGGTTGCACTAACTAAAGTGATGTTGCAGTGGGCCAATTTGTCAAGGTTGGACTGTAACTAACATCGGCGATATCGATATCAAACCCATATCGTATATATCGACGGTGCTTAATGAAACCTCTCTTTCAATTCAGTATGGCTGACTTGAACCAGGCCAAAGGAGTCTGTGTGGATGCACTCTGATGTGTTATCTCCCTGTGTTAAATTATGTCATTGGCATTCATTACAAGCAGCAGCCATTTGCCTAAGTGCTACAAGACATGGTTGGGTAATTTTTCAATTAACGTTAATGTGCGTATGACTCAATGAATAGTGCTGTTGGTCGAGACCTTTTCAAAGGCCAAGCAAAAACAAGAAATCGTTTGTGCTGTTGGAAAAGGTTGATCTCCTTCAGAACTCTTGAATGTGCATTTTGTATGCAGTTTGAAAATGCAAATTTTCTGGGCAAAAACAAAGGACCGAAAAAAACCTGACTTTCAGCATACACAGACCTAGCACAAGACACACATCGTAAAGGGCAGCACAAAGGGGCATTTCAGAAAAGACAGGATTTTAGATGTGTAATTAAGCAACTTATGAGTTTTAAATTTTAACCATAGCTTTGTCCCTCCCACGCACCCTCATGCAGGTATATCAAGACAATGTGTACGCTAAGGGAAGTCACTTCCATTCCTTCAAGAAGGTCCTAACAGAGCTAGGAGATAAGTACTCTAACCAAGAGCTGGCGTCGTTCCACTCCACGTCCAAGGGTTACATGGGGGAGTAAGTAACCTTGGCTGACCAGCAAGATTGGCTGGTGCCAGGTTTTTATGCTATTTTACATCCCAATTCCAACAAAATCCAACACAAGGTGTCATAGGATCTGTGATGGCATTACTGGGTTTCGGTTTAAACTGCCCAAGCTTTAAGCAGTCATGGTGGAATATCCAATTCCAACAAAATCCACCAACACATGGTGTCATAGGATACTGTAAATTACGAAGCAAATGCCTGGAGTGTGTTACTGCGATTCAGTTTAAAATTCTTTTTTTTAGGCAAGCAACTGCAGTTAAATTCCTCAGTTATTTCTTGAATCTCGTAATTTCTTCCAATATAGTCCTCCAAAGGAGGACGGTTTTTAATTTCAAATGTTGTATCTATCTGATGCAAAACTCAGAACATCATTAGGGCTGCAACCAAGAGTTGAAGCTGTGACTAGGGATAACAAGTGCACCCATGGAGCCCTTTGGGTATCAGCTGCAGCCACGTCCTATTAACATGTGTTACACCTAGCCATAGCCACTTGATTTGGACATGACCTAACTCTCCTTAAATCCTCAAAAGTCCAGCACTGTGGAATTACCCGGAGCATTAGAATTTTACTTTAGATTTCATCTGATCTGATCCATTTCTGCACCCCTTTCGCCTCATATTTGACACAAGCTTTTCCTGTCAATTTGTCCCACAGGTGTGGTCTGAGAGGTGGTTACTGTGAGCTGCTGAATCTGGATCCAGAAGTCAAGACACAATTGTTCAAACTCATCTCGGCCAAACTTTGTCCCACCGTCTCTGGACAGGTAACCAGTCTGCTCATTACCATCAGCCCACTTCCCGGAAGCACCCAAGTCATGCTTTATAAATTTAAATTTTGTTTGCATGTATAGCATTCAAACCTGATCGGACCAGACTGAGATCATGTCCAAATACGCGACTATGGTTGGTCACAGCCTGTGAACCTGTGGATATCACTGCAGCCTTTTCCCACATATCTTGCAGGCCAGTTGTTTTGTTCCACAGGGTATGTACAAAAGAAATTTGCCTGTGAAAAAAAAACTGCCCTGCAAGATGGCTGCCATGCAAAGCCTCTATAATACTGTCAGCCATAACCAAGTAAGATGGACATTTGTGCATATGATGAATAGTACCACGGAGTGATTGATAGAGGGGCCCCCCATTCTGTCGTCACTCGAAAACCTTTTTAGTTTTTGTAATCTTTGCTTCACATCTCCAAGAATAACTGTTCAACTTAGACTGTACACTACATCACAGAAGAGACAGCATTGTGACGGTTCCTGCAATATGAAGGGCGGTTTATACGAAGGGAATTCATGAACGTGACATTGCAACATTAGATTTGGAGCTTCGATTTTGCAAAATTTAAATAAATTTCAACCTGAGCAATCTTTGCTGTGAATGTATTGTGACAGTATTGCTTTCGAACTCCCCTGAGGTATGAACAGCACTCTCCTGTTAACTAACCACAGGTACTTACCACTGAGGACAGTCGACTGTCTACTGAGGACAGGGCAGCATCCTTTCTTTCCTTTGTGTTGTGTCCTCTGTAGTCAACGTAAAACATGGCGAAGCTAGTCCACCCTGCATTTACACCCTGCATTTACACCCTGCATTTGCCTGCATGGGATAGCCATACTGGATTTATCTAAGCGTGAAGAAAATGTCAGAGATCAGGTGTATGACCGACCCCATGGTACAATGTGTTTCAGAGATGAGAGGACCTTTGTCTGTTTGGAGAATGTTGAATGATTCTTTCTCTCTGTTTGTCTCTGTAGGCTGTAATGGATGTTGTCGTGAACCCACCAAAGGAGGGTGAGCCGTCGTATGCAACATTCTCCAAGGTGAGTAGAGTCCTGCTTGGCAACATTGACGGGATTACTGTCTAGTGACCACAAGAGTTTTGAGGTTCACTGTGCACGGCTTCTAATTCAGATGATTCACAGTACTGGTACATTGCACTGGCCAAAGGTTGCACTGGCCAAAGGTTGCACTGGCAAAAGGTTGCACTGGCAAAAGGTTGCACTGGCAAAAGGTTGCCACAGAGAGACCATCTTTTTCAACAAACAAGGCTGACTTGCCATGATTGATCAAATGTCAGTGGACGACTGCAGGTAACATTTGATAGATTGGGGCATTCCATGCTTCACACAAAAATCACACCACCACCATCTTGCTTTATTCACACTGAAACACAGAAAAACATGACACTACCAGGTCTACCCAGAAAAACACCGGGAACAGTTCAAGTTTTCCGCGCTCAGTGTAGCCGGCAAATAGAATTAGTTGACCGTTGCCCACAATGCTCTGTGAAATATGGCCTTTCTAGGGCATGAATGGCCTGTGGTTTTTCTCATTCAGTTTTTGCAAAGTGAAAGTTTCTCTCAGTAAAGCAGAATAGTTTACTTGGCACTCAGTGTTCCCGCAGGTAAAATTAAATAATAACCAAAGGTAAAGATGAATTCTCATTTTTTTGTCGTCAGATACTTTATGATGCAGTTCTGACGCTTTTGTATTTTTTTGGCCTGTTGCTCAGAATTATAATCACATTTGTGAAATATCCAACATCTGGGATTAATTGTGACTGACTGCTGGAACAGTGGCACTGCCGATTGTGGGCAAGGGTAGTAAATTGCTGTAATCTTTACTGGAATTCTTGCTATGTTTAATAAACGGGGAGTTGTTTGTTTCGCTGTAAAATTTTAGGAGATTTGTTTGACTTAGCGACCGACCAGTTCTGTATGTGGTTTGCAGGAGAAGGCCCAAGTGCTGTCGGCATTAGCAGAGAAAGCCAGGATTGTAGCTGAGGCGTTCAACTCAGTCGAGGGGGTCACCTGTAACCCAGTCATGGGAGCCATGTATTCCTTTCCCCAGGATAGATATGCCTCAGAATGCCATCAATAAGGCCAAGGTCAGTATCTGTCAGGGCTGATGTAATCTGCCTTGAGCAAAAGCACCTCCCCCCTTTAATGGTTGAAAAGAGCCATGTCGGTTGGGAGTGTCCGCTTTATTGGCGGCGATGCAGCCGCGTCTCATGCATTTGTTAGTCTGGTTTGAACCACCAAAGTGCAGTTGTCACCAATAGAGCCTCCGTTGCTAGAGACACTGTTACCCTCTTCGTCCCACTCTGTGTGGATTGCTTGCTTACTTCAGATTGTGCCTTCTGACTTGCTGCTTGCGGAAGTTACAGGCCAATTTCAAGTTGAACTAACTGTACTTAACCACTACCAGCCGGGGACTCCGGGATCGGAGC